ACTTAAGCAACATCTTTCATTTTTGCTAAGCTAAACTGTCTCCTGGAACTGGTTCCCCCTCCTGGTACTCTGGCTGACTGGCTGTCCTCTTGTTGCAACACATTACAATTTAGGACAGCAGTTGTCAAGTTTTGTTTCTGAGTGACCTCTAGGTTTGGAAAGCCAAGGTCTAAATTTGCTGTGAAATTCAGAGATGAAAAGTATCAGAGCTTTCAAGGGAAGTGACATTCACAGCTCTATCAAATAGTCCATGCACACATAAATTCCTACTCATACTTACAGTGATTTTACTTTATATGAAGTGGAAAATGCCTGATGTTCAAGCCGGATTTGAAAAAGAAAGAGGCACTTGAGATCACATTGTAAATATCCTCTGACTACTGCAGCACACGAAAGAATTTCAGAAGATCAGTCTATGCTTTATAGACTATAGCAAAACCTTTGACTGTGTAGATAATGAGAAATTATGAGTTGTTCTGAAAGAAATCGGTGTGCCTCAGTGCTTGATTGTCCTGTTGGGTAACTTATATTTAAGGACATGAAGCTACTGTTATGACAGAATATCCTATAAACAAACGTGTCAAACAAGGGTGCCTTTTATCCCATTATCTGTATCCAGAACATACGTATCATACAGAAAGCCAGACTAGACTATTATGAGGGAGGAGTGAAAATTGAAATGTCAGTAATATAAGATATGCAGATGACACCATTTTACTGGCAGAAAGCAGCAATGACCTGAAAATGACTTTTAGTGAAAGTGAAGGAAGAAAGGGCCACAACAGGATTTCAACTGAACATCAAGAAAACCAAAATCATGTTTACAAAGGAAATACACAGCTTTGACACTGACAGTGAAAAAAAGTGGTGACAGACTTTGTATACCTTGCCTCAATCCCCAATCCAAATTGAGAAGAAGACTCGAAAAGGCAGCAATGAAGAGATTTAGAAAAAAATAATAATAATCAAGTGCAGGGATGTTTCACTGGAGATAAAGACTAGAGATGGGAGCTTTGTATTCGTATCCCTGGGAATATGAATACGAAGCGTGGCACCACACGTGCCATGGACGTCCATTCCCTTCCCTCAGAAGAACCATCCTGATATGTTCACCGGGCTCCGGGCAGTGCACGCATTCGTCAGCAGCAACCTTGCACCAATCATGGAAGCAGACTGACCAACTCTGTTCTGCCTCTCCATGCAGCCGACCACTCTGGCCAGGAGGCAGGATGATAAGTCTCCCTGCTCAGCTGTTCAGTGGTCGGCTGAACGGGAAGAAGGGGCAGAGGTGATTGGGGTACTTCCACAATTGGTGCAATGTTGCTGCTGACGGACACGTGTGCTGCACAGAGCCTGGTGAGTGGCCCCGGCTGGTTATGGGGAGAAGGAATGGACTTCCGTGGCACCTATGGTGCCGTGCTCCCATCTCTAATGAAGCACCTATCTCTAATGAAGGCCAAGAGCATCCATATTATCGTATTTCAAATCACCATATATGGATTGAGAAAGCTGGACAATAAAGAA